AATCAAATTTAGTCACACTTATTTATGAAATCAAATTTAGTCACACTTATTATGAAATAAAATTTAGTCACACTTATTTATGGAATCAAATTTAGTCACACTTATTATGGAATCAAATTTAGTCCCTCTTATTTATGAAATCAAATTTAGTCCGTCTTATTATGGAATCAAATTTAGTCCCTCTTATTTATGAAATCACATTTAGTCCCTCTTATTTATGGAATCAAATTTAGTCCCTCTTATTATGAAATCAAATTTAGTCAAGCTTATTATAAAATCAAATTTAGTCACACTTATTATAAAATCAAATTTAGTCCCTTTAATTATGAAATCAAATTTATTCACTCTAAATATGAAATCACAAACATGAAGTATATCCTAAAAATAAAGTAGTGCTTTATTCAAGCTTAAAAACATAAATCACTCCTCTGTCTGTTTTTATTGTTTACCATCAAATCACTGCATAGTATATTACCAGTCCTGTCTTACGTCACACTGTAGTGATATGGGTTTTTGATCCGTCCAGTTATACGTCACACTGTAGTGATATGGGTTTTTGATCCGTCCAGTCTTACGTCACACTGTAGTGATATGGGTTTTTGATCTGTCCAGTCTTACGTCACACTGTAGTGATATGGGTTTTTGATCTGTCCAGTCTTACGTCACACTGTAGTGATATGGGTTTTTGATCTGTCCAGTCTTACGTCACACTGTGGTGATATGGGTTTTTGATCTGTCCAGTCTTACGTCACACTGTGGTGATATGGGTTTTTGATCTGTCCAGTCTTACGTCACACTGTAGTGATATGGGTTTTTGATCTGTCCAGTCTTACGTCACACTGTAGTGATATGGGTTTTTGATCTGTCCTGTCTTACGTCACACTGTGGTGATAAACCAAAGCTGTACATGACTAAAGTTGAGCCTATGAACTATAAATGAAAAGTAACTTATACAGCCAGTGTAAAACATGTACCTTCCACATGGGCGAGAGAAAGAAAGACAATGTACCATAGACTGCAGTTGTTTGTTGTAGCATAGAGTTACTATCAGGCAGGAAAAACGATTTATATGAAGCTTAAATGTTGTAATATATACAGGGTGGGACAGAATAAAAACCTCTTAACAGAAGGAGATTGCAAAATTTCAAACTAAAATAGTCACAATGTGTTACATAAAATATCGTGAAAACAGGTATTATATTGCACCCAATTTATAATAGTCTACCCTAAACAGTTCACTAAACACACCACATAACCTTTTCAAATGATCTACTCTAAACAGTTCACAAAATACACCACATCCCCTTTCAAATGGTCTACCCT